TACGCTTGCAAATCAATTTCTAGGTAAATATTTTGCACGAGTTTAAAGTACTGTCAAATAATTTGCGATCCATAATTCAAGTGTTTGGTAGAAAATTTTATAGCAGAACTTATCTGCTTTTAGTAAAATTGTGTGACTGCTTTATCTATATTATGAGTTATTATCTATATATTAATACGCTAACATAAATTTTGTCTCCGTTCGTTTGGCGATTCTACCGAACCGATTTCAAAACCAAGAACACCGTTGGAAAGCCATTTTTCCGTAGATGAGCAGAGTTTTTATGGTTTCACAATTGAAAATTACGGCCAAAACTGTCGTTTAAACATTTTCGAATTGTGTATACATGTTGCTCCAACATGTTCAATTTGACATGTTTCGCCTGTTGTTTCACTACACATTTGAAATTAAGCTTTGAAATAATGATAAATATGAAGATGAAGAAATAAATGATAACGATGAAGCCAAAAAAAGGAAGACAAAAGTGAAGATAAAGACGAAAATGGAGACAATGACAGATACATAATAATTAGGGTAACTAAAAGGGTAAGAACATTTCTTGAATTTATGAAGTGAAACTTCTTTAGCGGCAGTTGGTTGGTTGGGAGTAAATTGTCAAATTCAAGGGGAATAATGCACATGGAAATAGTTCACAGCGGTTTGGCGGTTTGAGAATAAAAACAAAAACAAAGATGGCTAGAGGTACAGGCAAAAACGAAGATCAAAGTAAATTTAAACACTTTAAGGTAAAGGTGAAGAGGAATATGCAAAAATAAAGATAAATATGAAGAAAAGGATGAGGATGAAGACCGATATTGTTATCGATATAAAACTCGATATTTTTATCGATATAATAATCGATATTGCTATCGATAAAATAATCGATGTTGTTATCGATACTGTTATTGATTAAATAACCGCTATTTCAATCGATATAATAATCGATATTGTTATCGATACAATAATGGTTACTGTTATCGGCATAATAATCGATTAAATAATTGATTTTGTTATCGATTTAGTAATTCATATTGTTAACGATATGTACAACAATCGATACTGAAGATTGTTGTATTTATCGATGAATTAATCGATTTTACAATCGTTGTATTTTTCTATCTTTATGGATATTGTTATCGGTATTTTTATCGACACAGTTATCAACAGGGTTATCGATATACTAATCGGAACATGGAATGTGATCACATTATATGGCAACACATCACACGATATTACATCACATAATATGATATCACTTCACACGATATCACGTGACATGACATTATATGATATTACATCACATTATATGGCATGACTTCACATGACTAGACATCACATCATCTGACATCGTATGACATGACATGGCATTACATGACGTGGCATCACATGATATGACATCATATGGTATGACATCAGAGGATATGACAACACATGACATGACATCCTATCACATCACATAAAATCACGCCACGTCTTATCGCGTCATCGCACCTCATCTCATATACGTGAATAGAAAAAGAAAAGGATATAAGCAAAGATGTGAAAGATAAAAGCAAAGATGAAGACCAAGGTAAAGTTACTGATTTTAAAACCAAAAACACCATTGGAAAGGTAATTTTCTGTAGATGAGGAGAGTTTTTATAGTTTCGAAATTGGTTTAAAATCATCTTTTAAAAATTTCCATATTTATGTATGGTTGTTTTTGCAACCTGTACAATTTAAGCCGTTTCGCATTTTGTTTTACTTCGTATTTGAAATTAAACTTTGAAATAAAGATAAATATGAAGATGAAGAAACAAGTGATAACGATGAAGACAAAAAAAGGCAAAAGTGAAGATAAAGACGAAAATTGAGACAATGAGAAATACTTAAGAATTAGGTTAACAGAGTTGAAATTTTCCGTTAGGAATCGAAATAAAATAAGCCATAAAGGTTACTGAAATTTATCGAATCATCGAAGTTTATTATCGCAACGTATCGAATTATTCCAACTGATCAATGTTTACTGAGTTGTCGAAATTTATAGACACAGAAACTTAGTTGTCCAAGTTTACGGATAGTTATCGAGCTATAAAAACATGTGGGATTAACGAAATTTGTCAAGTTAAAGAAATGTATCAAGTTATCGATATTTATTGAATTATCATTATTTATAGACTTAACGAAATTTATCGAGGTGTCGTAATGCATGAGGTTCTTTCAACTTACAGAGTTATCGATAATTATTGATCTACTGAAATTGGTTGGTTCAACGAATCGAAGTTTATGGAATTTTCTAAATATATCGATTTATCGAAATTTATCGAGCCATCGAATTTTACAGTTATCGAAATTTATCGAGCCATCGAATTTTACAGTTATCGAAATTGGTCGAGTTAACGAATTTTGTTGAGTTATCGAATTTTAGTGTTCTTGAATTTCTTCGAGCTTTCGATATGTATCAAATCATTGAAATTTATCGATAAACTTGAATGTATCGGATCAATTCAAAGTCCTGCCGAAGTCCTCCAAAGACCTTCTCAGATAAAAAAAAATTGCTACGTGTTAAGTTAGTAAACCTCTAAAACTTCTAAAACTAGAAAAACTGTCGAATTTCGACAGTAACTGGCACTCTAGTTAAGCATTATTGGCCTTGTCTCACCCGTGACAAAAAAAGCTAAAAGTTGTTATATCTAATTTCAGAAGTTGTGGTTGCATCAGGTGTTTGTTACATAATGTTAGAAATTCATTGCAAATGTTTACCACAATTGCATTTCCGTTTCCACATAGTTAGATAAGAATAATTCAACAGTGAAGCACGTCCCACCCGTGACAGCTACGGGTGAAACAGTTGTCAGAGGTGGGTTTAAGTGGCTAACAAGCTTTGTTGGAGGTGGACGCAAGGGAGGAGGGGGGAAGGGGGAAATGCGCCCATTAGCTATATATGTATATTAGGGTGCCCATCGAAACATTTTTTTTTTTTTTTTAAATTTCAAAACCCTACCCTCTAATTTTCTTCCTATTTATGATAAATATTATTGCCTATTTTTATAGATTTTTTAAAAATCATTTTAAGGTCGCGATTTTTCACTTTAGAAGTGCATTCAAAAAATGCATACGGCTGCTAATAATTCATGCTCTCACACATTTTGATACACTAGTATGTTTCCATCATTGCCCTATGAAACAGATCTTGAGTGCTGCAGTATATCGTTAGTCTTAGGGCCGGTTACTCAATGTCTGGTTAACACTAATCACCGCTTAAACATAGTTATCGACGTTACCGACTTCCTGTTGTATGCATGGAAAATCTGCGTGGCACCGCCCCTTATGATGAAATGCTATATCTCTGTAGTCCCTTCACCAATCCCCACCAAACTCGGTGCGAACATTGCTTGGAGCCTCACAAAGAAATCCGTTGAAAATTTTTCAAATCAGACAAGAACTACGCCCACCTCCCATATAGCGGTAATTTACAGAAACACGAAAACTGCGATAAATTAGTACATAACTATTTAAGCTAATCTACTCAAAATCGATATATGCAATTTTCATATGTTTCGACGAATTTACATGGCAGCATACAAAAAATTGATTTTAAGGGAAAAAAATCGCTCAAAATCGACCAAGGCGATATTCTAAATTTTTACGCGCAAATATCAAAAAAAAAGATCGCCAAATTTGCGCTAAATCGCCCAATCTTGACCCTCTGTTCGGAGGCGTCATTAGTTTCTATGTCCCTCCGCTTGTGTGAAAACATCAAGACAGATACTACAAAGTAGAGGAGAAGCTCGAACGAAGGTTTTACCAAAACTATGTGAGTGCTATGTACAATATAACTTTTTAAAATAAATTATTTTCCATATTACCTGTCAAAGGAATTAGGTTGATGAAATACATATTTTACTTTTTAAGTGAAATAAACTGATGCATATATATGTACATATATACGTACATGTTCAATGCGTTATATAATTCCCAATGGCAATAAAATGAATGGCAAACATTTACATTATGCCATAAATCTGTTGCAGTTTCGAAGAATGACATACATATGAATAATTATTTGTTGACAAGGAAACAAAACAGCACAAAGTATGTTGTGAATATTTAATAAAATGTTGCGTTTTTCTTATTTTAAATTAGAATTAGAAATTACTTAGATAAGGATTGGCATATAAGCCAGCTTGAATTTTTGTATCTAGAAAAAAAATAATAATAAACGGTAAAAGAAATATGATACAAATGCTAGCAGTTTTAGTAATTTGACCCATTTTTGTAGCAAAAGTTAAAAATAACCAAATAATTAGATTAATAAAAACATGATTTTTTAATATAAGCTCCAATACTTTTGCACAAAAGAAAAAAAAATAAACCCTTGACTGCCAAAGGGTCTAAAGAGGTCACTTCTCAATTTGTTATTTTATTAAAAAAATTAATTGATTCTAAATATTCGTTTTAACCTTTTCATGCCAGATATTGCCTATGAGCTACATTGACAATTTGGTTTATAAATCTTGTTTTTTGTTTGTTTTAAATTGACAACTTAAAATATTGTGAGGGCAAAACGCGGAATATAATACCATCACTTTGGATCAAATGAGTTTTAAAAATCTTTTCGTTGTGACATATGTGCGCAACATAAATGTTGTTAAAATTCGTTCAGCTAGGTTTTAAAAAATAAACAGAATAAATTCAGTTTTTCTTTAAACAAAAGGGTGTAGGTTACAAAATTTATTAATCAAAATCTCAAAAATTGTTTTTAGTTATAGTTAGAAAACTTTGCAATCGTTTATAAGCAACATTTCATAATTGTCAAACCAGCAATCAATGACGTTTGAAATTTATACTAGTTCATATCTAAGGCTCAACCAACAATACTATGTCATAAAAAACAGTTTCAGCCCTACCCAATTTAATGCGGACACGAAAGGGTTAACGAAAAAATTTCTACTTAGTTATAAGAGCTATTTATATAGTGACCATTTTTGAAAAACATTATCAAATTATATTATTTTCAGTTGGAAATCAGAATGGAATCCAAACAGTTTGTTGCTTGGAGGTCAAACTTAACTGCTCAAGATTA